TTAATACCCTTTTGACTTTTTACCCTCTGCGGGGGAGAGCCTCAAATGTCTTGCAGCACTGCTCACCCCTGGGATGACGGCAATGCGGGGAAACCAACCCCGCTATAAAAGGAGCGAGCACGCTTTGCTCCCGTGTGTCTTCAGGCTTGGCTGCGTAGCCAGCAGCTCCCCGCAGGGGAAAGGCCCTTCCAACAGACCAGTCCAACAGGAAATTACCTGCTCACCCTTTGCTAAATTACTAGCTGGACAGCCAGTCACAGGGTCCCAAAAATGCCAGCTCCATCTATCCCCCTAGGGACATGATTCCCAGGCACGCAAGATCCCGGCCTGTTCACCGCGAGGGCAAACCCACCTGGCCTGGCCGTCCCTTCCCTGCAGCGCCTTGCGCAAGGCTCGATTTCATCTCCTCTCTGGGACACAAAGATCACATGGCTCAATTTTCCCTGAGCAATCACAGGGTAAAACCTGCCAGGCTTCCTTCAGCTCTGGCTGAAGGGTTTTCTTACTCCAGGAGATGCTTTATTTTTTTCAGCAGATGAGAGAGTGTTCCCAATGAGATAACAGGGAGCTGATGAAAGGGAAGAAGTGCCAGGACATTCACAACAAAAAGGATTGTTGTGATATTCTGAGGAGATTTCCAAATTTAAATGACGTGGGAGCAGAGGTAAGATTGTTGAAATTGAGATCCTTCCCATTAGAAATATCCTTTTTGCGTTCCCATATGTTGTCTCCATCATCTTGGAGAACAGGAGCTCATGGCTGTATCCAAACCTTTGGTTACCCCCTTGACATTTTTCCTAAATCTGACTGCACTAAACCTCCTAAACCCAACCTAGAGAAAAAGGGACCCTCTTGATCAGGACATTTTCTTGTGCTGGCAGTGAGCAGCCCTGGTTGGGACTTTCAATTCATTCCATTATCCTTTTCAAGCCCTCCTCCCCATCAGCATCCAAGCTCTGTTGGAGTACGGCAGGTCCCAGCTCACTTCCATGCTCCCCCCCCAACCAAGAGCATCCCCGTGCCCTTTATCTGCAGCAGGCCTTTCCCAATCTGCTTTTAAAGAGCAAGTTGAGCCTGAAAATTGATGCTGTAGGAGACTGACCTTGTTAGAATGTCCTTCCCTCTGGCTGATCCCAGGTCAAATGCTCTCAGTTTATGAGTCACTGACTCCCACAGTAGCTAGACTGCACCTACCTCTACTTCTGCTCGCCCAAGCAGCAGGAAAGACCCTGCAGCTGGGATGTTGCATGGAGCCAAAGGTGACCCCATCCCTGCTCCTGGCCTTGGATCCCCTTGAGGCCCAAGAGGTGGCTTTGGTGCAGGAAGGGCTGAGGACCAGTTTAGGTGGCTGAAGAGCAGTGCTGGTGCTACCCTGTGCCTGCAGGCACCCCATTTTACCTGGCTGGGACTCCTTCCCATGCTGACACTACTCTTGTGGCATTTCTCAGAAAGAGACCATAATTCTAAACTCTCAGCCCAAATGATGCCATTTCTACAGGGCACTTTGTGTGATTCAGAGAACTGTGGTTTCCTGCAGAGGAACATATGAGGCAACTCCAGGTTGGATGCTCTGGTGTTTAATATCAGGAGTGCCCCAGCTGCAGCCTTTGTCTCACCATGGGTTCAGTGTTTTCTTGTCTACCCAGCTCTGGCAAGACTTGAAAGCAATTGGTATCTTTGAGGACTCTGTCCTTCTGGTAAAGCTGGTTGAAATTGGCCAGGGAGTTCAAAAGTTTTATTAGGGAGAAAGACAGACACACCCACAGCATGATCACAAACTAATTGTTTCTCTAGGAAACTAGGCTGAAAAAAAATGGTTGTTTAAGTAAGCAAATATTTTTCTTGAAGACACTAGAGCAGGGGAGGTGGGAGGGAAATTGTATGTTTATATTGATGTTGATCCAACCTCCCCTTAAGCATTAGTTTCTTGGTTTAAATCTCTTTATCCCTATTTATGCCCATTTTTATCATGCTGGTTATTAGTCCTAATGACTTGCTCTGCCCTGTGCTGCCACCTTCATCTCAGCAAGCTCCCTTTTTGCTGCAGAATTCTGCAAACCACTTTGCTGAGATCAGCCCATCCAAATAACTTCACACATACAAACAATGAACCAGTGAGGGAATGGGGGTTGGCAGGGCCCCACAGAGGCAAGGCATAGATGTGAGAAAAATAAATCGGTGGCTCAAGCTCTCCTGTAAGGCTCCTGTTTCAGGATTTGCAAACTGGTTTCCTCTATCAGCTCCAAAGCATCAGAGCTGCTAGCTAATACTAGGGCAGTAAAGGCTTTTTTGGTATGAGCTGTCAGCCAAAAATTCAAGTGCCTGTAAGTTGTTCTAGCTTTTCCAAAAATGGGTGCAGTGGTCAGGTGTCCCTTTGATGTGCTCCTGTTTATTTACAAAGAGCCCAAAAGGTCCCATTCCCCCAAAGGTGGCAGGAAACAGGCAGGGACATAATTTGGTACCTTGTTCTTCCTGTTAGGGCTGATCTCACATGTGAGTAAACAGTGGGTGCGTGGTGAGCTGCAGCAAAGGCTTTGCAGCCTGCACAGCCACCCATCCTCCTGTTTTCCAGTCCTGGATGCCTGTGAGAGTCTCCCTTTCACTTTCTTCCTGGCTGGCTCAATGCAGGAAATCAGACTGATTAAAAACTAAAGAAGAAAAAAAAAATTAAAAAAAAAAAAGAAAAATGTGTTTCTTTAAAAGCAGAAGAAAAAAAATTTAAAGAAAAAAAAATTAAAGATCATTTTAATTAGGTTTGAAAAATCTGCAGCACAGCTGACAGGCGAGCTGACAGGGCTCCCTTTCACCGGATCGCCCAGCTCAGGGTTTTTCATCTTGTGTGCAGAATATTTTGACATTCATGCTTTCTTGGCTCCGTTTGTGGAGCCCAGTGGAACCTGCAGCCTAATTAAATGTAACAATTCCTGAAAATGAGGGTTGTTATTTTTTTTCCTATGGATAATAATAGAGGTTTTATTTTAAAATGAGCTGATCTATTTACTCTAGGCTGCCTGCTTCCTGACCTGGCCTCAGCACCTGAGGGGACAGGAACAGAACGAATTAGACAGGAGCTTAGTCACTGGAAAAGATGAGGGTGTTAATGTATGCGTGTGTGCACATGTGTCCTGCATGCTCTGCTAGAAGAGTTGAGAGGTGGAAGGTTAGGAGGCTCAGATTTTCCCTGCAGCTCACTTCTCCCCTGACTTTTGTGGTTGGGTGCTGATTTTTGGGCAGTGCCAGACCCTGGAGGCTCTAGAGGGGCTGCACAATCCCTGCTCTGGCTCCTCCACTGTGGGTACCAGCCTGCAGGGAGGGTGAGCCAGGGCCTTTGCAGACCTGGGGCTCTGCAAGCCAGGGGGTGATGACAGAGCCTTTGTATAGGGAGCTGTGGTAAACAAGAAAGAAAATACAAGTCAGTATTGTCGAGGACTGGATGTGCCCAACTATGCACCCTTGGTGCCCAGAGCTTTCATTCCAGGGCTTTTACCACAGTGGTTCATTTTTACCATGGTCTTACTCCTGGTCCTTGAGTACATCCCTGCATCCCTATGCCTGGTGAAGCATAGGCCAGCTCCAGGAGAAAGTCACAGAAAGTTGTTCGTGCCTCTTCCTGTGGGTTCCCAGGGCCATTGTGCCTCAGGCCTGTCAGCTGCCATCGCTGCAGCTGGGCAGCACTGCTCAGGTGTCACTGCTCATGGCTTCCTGTGGGCTGCCTGGCACTGAGAGCACCCCAGTGTGAGAGCAGAGTCCCTCTTTCATCTCAGAGTGGAATCTCCTTGGCTGACAAGGAGGAGATGGTGACAGAGGCTGAGGAGTACTCCTTCCCATCCGCTTCCCTGTGCCCCTGGGCTTAACACTGCTCATTAAACCACCTCAAAATTTCCCAGCTGATGTGCCCATTGCTCTGCCAAAAGCAACAGGGTAGGACATAAGCAGTGCAAACCACTCCCAGGCTTTCCTTCTCCCCACTTCCCCCTGCAGCTCCAGGGAGCTTCCCTCAGGCACAAGAAACCAAAGCTTCAGGGGCACTGGTCCCTGCCTGGCCAGGGCAGGACTGGCTGGCGGTGCCCACTGCCTTTCCCAGCCCCCAGGGCAGGACTGGCTCCTGGTGCCCATTGCCTTTCCCAGCCCCAGGGCAGTTCTGGCTCCTGGTGCCCACTGCCTTTCCCAGCCCCAGGGCAGGACTGGCTCCTGGTGCCCACTGCCTTTCCCAGCCCGCAGCCTGATGGCAGCAATGAATCAGCAGCCGGTGGACTTGTCAAAGGCATTCCTCCACTTTAATCCTATTGACAGGGACTACTGCCTGGAACAGGAACTGCGGGGTGAGCCATGTCAACAGCAGATTCTTATTACAGATAATATTGATGGGGCCTTTTCTTGAATAATGAAGGGAAGAGCCCTCTGCTTTGACGTTTGTCTCCAAAACCTAGAATTACTAAGAGTTTAACCATCGGAGGGGAGCTTAAGATAGTTGCATCTTAAAGGATCTGCTTTCTTGTCGCATTCAAGGCTGGGGAAGGAGTTTAGCCCATACAGTCCCTGCTGACCTTTTCACAGCTCTTAATAAATGTTACAGTTATAAATAAAGTCGGATGGATTTTTCTATCTACTGTAGGATGTTATCCACTTTCTGGAGAAAAAAAAAAAAAAAGGTAAAAACCCCCAAATCCCTGTTTAATATCACTGTTACTCATTATCTTTGGTAGCTGCATGGTGAAAGGCAAGTAGGAAGGGCAGGGGCAGGACAATTCAGGCTGTATTACCAGGGTAATTCCTACCACTGCACATGATTATGTGTGTCTCTCTAAAAGGGTGGACTGGGGCTGTTTAAATCCATTCTGATCCTACTGGCAAAGCTCAAACCAAGATCAGCAGCTCTGGAAATATTTGGGGAAAGTTTTGTTTGTTTGTTTTTAAATTTACTTTCTGATTTTTCATTCTTTAAAAGAGCAAAAAACCCTCTCTATCTGGTCTGGTCTCTATCACTTGGTTCCCTACAGGAGTGGAGGCACCAGAGCTGCAGGGGAGAGGCTGCCTGGAAAGTCAAAACAGGGCAGAAAGCATCAGCTGTTCCAGGAAATAACCTGTCTTTGCACATTTCCTCATGTTCAGGCTTCACTATTATGAATGCAAGCACTGTGATGAGAGAAGGTAAGGAAGGAAGATGGGACTGACTAGTGGGCATTCTTGAATTTTAGATGCAACCAGGATCTCAAAGGTGTCCCTCTGATACCGGGGACACCTCCAAATGGGGTTTGGACCTCTAGCCTCCTATTGGGACAGATAAGGAAGACAGCAGGCAAATTTGATTTTTGTCCACATTTCTACCTCCCAGATCCTAGAGCTGGCCCAGGACTGAACTGGCAGGTGGTTTAAGTTAGAACAGCCACAGGGCTGCTCTAACTTAAGCCAGCTGGAATCTCTTCTGGGGCTGGTTCTACCAGCCAAGGTTTGCTGGATTATAGTAGGGCCCTGAAAGCCTCCAGCCTTTCACTGCATGGCCTTCACAAGAGGACCAGGGAGCAGATGACACAAAAATGTCAGGGCAGTTCCCAGCTGGTGCTTAAGGACCAGCTTTAATTCCTTCACACTGCTGCAGAAAATCAGTATCTGGTCCAAGGATGCCTGTTCTCATGGTATTTTTAGTCTGATTGTGAAGACCCTAGGAGTTTTGGATTGCCCTTAAGGTTCTGAATATTGGGCTTTCTGACTTGAACTGTTAAATATTTTCCATACATAAACAGCAGCCACAAAATTTCAGCCACAAAATTCAAAAATGGATGTCTTGTGTTTTAGATTTTAAAAAAAATTAAATGCCAGAACAAGACAGAGGAAAAGCAAAGTCTCCAAAGCAGTTTAGTTACTCTAAGTGCGTCTTATTCCTATAAGATGAGTTCTTGACACAGAAACTAAGTGGGCTCTCTTGGCACAGTTCCTAAAAGTGTGGAGACCCAGCAAATACAGGAGAGACCATTCCTGGGGCTGACTGGTCCCCCAGCACATGATGGGGTGCATGAGAAGGCAGCCCATGCTCTCAGTGTGCACCCTGGACCTCTCAGCACTGTCCATGTCTATATCAGTGTTTTAATCTCCTTGGGTCCTCTAACCCAGGAACAGCCATGGCTTACATGGGCACTTGTCTTCCTGGGACAACAGAGCACCACGGACCCATTTCACTGAGCAGCTTTGAAATCCCACTGAAGTGCAGTCTTCCTTCCCTTCCAGACATGATTTATTCCTTTTTTCTTTCAGAAGCTCAAAGTGTGGGATAGAAACTTAGCCCTGCTCCTCAAAAAGGGGACATCTCCTCATCTCCTGTTGTTGCACAGGGAGCTGAAATCTGGCCAGTGCAAGCCACGGGTGGTACCTATGGAATTAGCCCTTCATCCCAAGGGCTCAAAAATCAGTTGGGTCCTTCAGGTCTTGAGGGGTTTTTTTTTACTCATCTCTTAAAAAAAAAAAAAAGGTGATAAATATTATTTTCTCCATGCTTTCTTTTTTTGTTTGGAGGTGCCTTAGGATGCTCTGAGTTCATGTTTCTCAGCTTTTTTCAAGAACCTGGAAGTCCAAAAACTGCTTTTCGTTATTTCTTCTCTTTTAAAAATGAAATCTGAGATTTTTGCATAACACATTGAAGCAAGAAGCTGAGGAGGGGGTGAAGAAAAACAAAAAGTACTGTGGGACTAAAATTTCAAGAGCTGGCAACACTGATTATTTTTGGTTTTCTTTCTGTTTTCCAGAGGAAAATAAAACCATCCTCCATTTTGCTGAGTGCCAGCAGTGTGAACAAAAATATAAGGTGCTTCAGGGCAGGAAGAAACTGTGAAGAAATAGGTTTTTGAATTCCATTTGTCTCGGATTGTCTGAAAATTGTCTCAAGAGCTGCCTTCTGGAGACAGCTGCCCTGCTCTGAGAGAGGGCAGAGACGTGTGTGGGGGTCTCAGACTGGGACAGGACTCAGGGTGCAGCTGCCTCTGATTGTGCTCAGGTCTCAGCAATGCCAGGCTCTCAAGGAGGACAAGGAGAGGTCAGCTGTGCAGTGGAAAGGCTCCATGAAGCTCTTCCTTCCATAGGAGCATCATCTTCTGCAGCAGACATCCTGGCTGGCCAGGACCAGGCCTGGCAGGCAGCAAGGTGGAAGAGGAGAGGCTCCCTTCCTGCTGGTCACCTGAAGTCATGGCAATTGTGTGCTGCCCCTGTGCTCAAGGAAGACACACAGAAGGACCTGAGTCTGTGCTGAGGTGTTCATGAGGTACCCAACCACTCCTCTGGTGCTTCCGAGACTCCCAGGCCACCAGCAGCCAGAGGGATCCATGCATGGAAGCTCAGAAAAGTAGGATATTGCCCTTAAGATGTGACATCCCAAGGGGTGATGTCCCTGGGGTGAGGATGATGTGTGGATCTCTGCTCATGCACCCACAGCAGGTATCTCCTGCAGGTGTTGAACACCACAAGTGGTTGTGGCTGCCTCACCTTGGCTGTGCATGTTCTGCACAGGGGCTGGTGTTTATTAATGGTATTTATTAATTTATTATTCAGCTCTGGCAAGAGCTGCTGGAACCAACATGGAGCTCCAACTGCTGTTCCTGCCTGTCCTTCATCACTCATGCTCACATCTTTCTCAGGCTCACTCTCTTTGGGTTGAAATTTTCCATGCTTTGTCTTAGCCCAGTGACACATTTTTGCCGAAGGTATGGACAGTGCTCATTGGAGTCCTCTTTGTAGGGCTCCTTGCTAATCTCTGCCTTGTGGTAAAGGTCCATCTTTCATGTCTCAGGAGACATCAGGCTGAAGAAAATCCTTAGATCCTCCTTTATTTACTTGTTTATTATTTGAAAAAGTTATTTAAAATCTTACATTTCAGTCAACTAAAACTTAAAAAGAAATCTCTTGTTTAGATCTTCCCCAGTGGAAAACTAAGCAACTCTGGCAAAATTAAAGTTTTTCCATGAAACATTCAGATTTTGTGAAAACTACGCTTTCTATTTAAAAAATGTATTTTGGTTATTAGTTTTTAGTCTGCTCTACTTCTTCAGGATGATTCAAAAACATAAAGGCAAAAATCTCCACTTCCTACGTATAATGTATCAACTTTTTTTTTTCAATCATGACTTCAATTCCATCTCCTTAGTGAGGAGGCGAGAAAAATTATTCAGCTTAAGGAAAAGCATTTTATCAGTTATAAAGTTGTGGAAGTTTTAAATGGGTATCTTAGTGCAACTATTGGATTTGCAGCTCGCCTTTCTCCCTATCTGGGTCGAGGACGCCAGACTTAAAAATCTGGTCTTGACTTAGTTAAGGGTATCTCTGGTAGAAGGCTTTTGGTTTGTGGTGGGAGTTTTTGTTTAGGTTTTTTTCTGGTTTTTTTTTTAAAGATAGCTGAAATACAGAAAAATCTGTTTAGGACTGCAGGATGAAAAATTACCTCTGGGAGCTGCATTCATGGTTATTCTGAAACAGTGATTCCAGGGTTAAATTTGTCATTTACAGGAGGCTTATGTTTTAATACATGTTTTTCCTTAGGATTTTCAAACTTAAAGATTGTTTTCCTTTGACAACCTTCCTCATCTTAGAAAGCTAGGATAACCAAATACTAAGCTTAACTAATTAAATCTTTAAAAGTTAGCAATTTCAGTCCAAGGATCAATGACATTATGGAGTTAAGACAAGCTCATTGTGCAGCTGTAGAATTTTCTCTATCTCCTTCTCTACCCTGTTTGTGATGAGGCAACTTCTTGAATGTTCATGGGTTGTCCCTGCAAGTAGGTATAAATTTGGTTATTTCAGACATGTACATACATGTACATAATCTGTGTAGACTCTGCACAGAGCACAAGACACAATTCCTTGCACACAAAACACGTTCAAAATGGCTAATTTGCAAAATACCCAGGATCCATTACTGTGGGTGACTTGATTTGAAACATTAGAAAAGGTGATAAGAAGTCGTGTTATGGAATCATTTATATAAATTTCAAATGACTCCCACTTAAAGGAAAAAAGTCTTTATAATTAACACGACAGATAAGAGCAGCTGTGACACTTTAAATAAATGTGGATTTGATTTTAAAATAGAGTTTCAGATTCTGGGGATATGTTAAAGACAGAAAAAAAATTGTGTGCTCAGAGTTGAAATTAAGATATACTAGAGACCATCTTTAAAAACTAAGCAGGCTCACAGAACTCCCCTGTTTCTGATGGCCTTCAGCACAGAGCTCCTAGGAAGTGGGAAGGGGATTAATTTAATGAGAGCTGAAAAAGAGGCCCTATAAGGGAAAGTTTAGTGCTTCTTTTCCATGCCAATAACCATCCAAGGAGAAGACATCCAAAAATCTAGTTGTGGTGGAAGTAACTCTTGAGGACTGCTGCATCTTTACAGATTTTGAAATAAAATGTGGGTTCAGTTATGAGTTAGATGTTGGATAAAATGGACATTATGTTGGTCATTGGATGGAGGCTTGGCAACCAGTTCAGTGAATAGTTATGCTTAGTTATTGGATGTGTGATCCTAGGTCCTGTGTTGGGCTAAGTTCCTATGGCTCCTTCAAAGATACATGGGCAGGAGGTAGAGGAGGACAGCTGGGTAACAGAAAGACAGGAATATGTATTTCCCACCACCTGATCTGGGTGCAGAGCCCATGACCAAGATGAATTAAAAAATATGAATTTCTGCAGCACTGTCTTCTCATTTCTTAGGCAAAGCTGTTATTAATTCAGAAGGAGTCTGCCTGAGCAAAAACTCTCCAGAGTCCAAAATATTTTGCAAAGAGTAAATATGGGAATTATTCACCTACCACAGAACAGCATCAGCCTCTGGGTGGAATGCAGGAGCTGTTTAACAATGCACAGAAACATTTCCCCAAAGTTTTGGACAGGAGTCGAAGGTTTCTGAATGCCCAATTGAAGATACAACTGGAAGAATCCAACAGTACAGGCCCCCTCCCTTACCTTGGTCCTGAATGGAAGGGTGAGCACCACCCACCTGAGTACCACACCACTTCCTCTAGGATCCTAAGAGATTTTTCTGGAGCTCACCCATCTGCCCCAGTCCTCCACATGAGATCTGGCAAATTAATTGCTCCAAGTGTCTGGGTAAGTACTGTAAAATGCTTCAATTTCAAAATAGAAATCATCTGCTTCATAAATGCCAAGGGCTTTCAACATGTCGTTTCTTGGTAAACAAAGAATTTCAGCACGACAATATCTTAGGATGTTGTTGGCCATATTTGTTCCCTCATGCGTATTGAGGCAAATGTGAACAAAGTTGCAGAGCTACCCCTTACATCCTCCTTCAGCTTGGGGTTTCCTCCCTGCTGTGCTGGAGATGAGGGGCTTGATCTGCACCCAGTCCCCAAAACTCCAGTTTCTGTGATGGTAAAGGGCAGGTGAAAGTTCTGCTTGTGCTTGGTTCTGCACAAAGTGTTGTATACTATGGCTAGGAAAAAACCCAAACAAAACAAAACACGTACTTTTTTTTTCTTTTGCGGATATTAGAACGCAATAAAAATATGTGTGTGCTTCCCCCCTCGCCCCCCCAGCTAAATTGATTACATCTGGTGACATGAAAAAAAATAGCCAAAATGTCAGACTGAGTCACACAGCCCCCTTGGGTGGTTATATTTATTTCAGCATTGAAGCACTCATCAAAACAATTTATCCTTGGCTCTTCGTCTCTGCCTTCCCATCCCTGTGCTTACAAACCCTTCTCTGTTCCCTAACACTTGTATTTAGCCCCAAGTCCCCTTCTTCCCCCAGTCTTTCCTTTCTCCATCTTTTTGTTCTCTGGCCTTGTTCTGTCCCTCTCCTTCCAATTTGTGATATCCACTCCAGCAAACCCTGTAATTTGCAATTCTCCACTTGGGATAGCAGGGGAAGCTGGAGCACAGAGACAAGGCTGGATGTTTGTAATGCTGTGTTGCCTACTTAGTGCCTAGTTACACATTACTTGGAGTGGAGTGATGTGATAAAACATGTGAGTGAACTCCCTGCTGCGGTTTCCATCCCTGCTGTGACCAGTGGAATGGGTGGGGTGGGACCATGCCCGCTGGGATGGACACAATTCCATCTCCAGCCTTACCTGCTATCCCTTGCTGCAATGGAGGAGGTGGATCTGCTGGCTCTCTTTTGATGGATCTTTGGTCTTGATTCACCTGTGTCCCCTGGATTTTCTGTGTGACAGGGAGCAGCACCAGAAGCATCTGTTTGATGAGAAAAGTCTGTGCTGCAGTGGGTAGGAAGAACTTCATTGCCAAGGACACCAAACCTCTCTTCCCAAACCTCCTGCCCAAATTGCAAAGAGAATGGCCATGTACATCTTGCTGTACATCTTTCTCCTAAATCCCATGGCAATCTGCTGTCAGGTTCTGCCAGCTTTCTTATCTTATGCCAACCACAGCTGCAGAAGACCTGGCACTCTGGGATCCTCATGGATGGAAGTGGCAGCAGAAAAACGTTTCTCTGTATTAACTCTATAATTAAAGGGCTGGTCTGGCAGGAACAGGGACTAAAGCCCTTATTTGCTCTCTCTTGGGCTGGTGGAATGCCCTGCACAGAAAGACACCTTTTTTTTAAATTATTATTACTTCTACAGTGATAAATGATAGATGAAGAAGACAGGAATACCCTCCTGGGGACACCCTTGGCTGGAAGAGGACTTGAGACGCTCTTGGCACTGCTGTCCCTGAGCTCAATGCTCTCTGTTTCACCCATTGTGTCTCCAGCTCCCATCCTGGGCAGCAGGCTCCTGTTGTACAGTGCTACACATTTTTCTCCTGTGGTAAATCAGAGCCCCCTGGGATCTGGTATTGTGCTTTTTTTGTTTTTTCCCCCAGGTATTTTTGTCTGTGAACCACAGAAAACTGAATAGGAGGAAATGAAGTGCAGATTGAGAACATGGTTGAGTGCACTTGCTAAAATAAAACATTGGGGGGGAGGGAGGGATTCTTTTATAATAGAAAATGAAGTGCGTTTACTTTTTATTGATGAAGTATTTAATTGTACAGAGGGTTTGAGAGGTGTTCTTAGCAGCATCTCAGACTGTGCCTGGACTAGAAATGCCAGTTGGTCTTTGGTACAAAAAACCAGGCTAGGTTAAATATTTTGTGCATGTGAAGGGCTAAGGGATGCCATGGGGTTTTTGGTGACATGCCACAGTTGTGCTAGGAGAGCCAGGGAACTCCAGTGATACCTTCTCAAACAGGACTAGATGCTAAGATGACACAAGACTTGTTGAGTGGATGTGTTTTGACAGCACAAGAGAATGTGCTGAACTCTGACCAGCGTGGTGTTTTGTCCTGGAGCTGTGCCACAGAGCCTTAGAGCCTGCCTGCCCTCTCTTATGCCTCTAGCTTATTTTCTTAAGCAAGTGCAGGGTGGAGAGGTAAGGCTGTGACCTTTTAGATTATTCTGTTATTCTATAAATACTGGATGGGTCCAGTGAGGCAGCTGGGGGTTTCTTATGAGCTTAAAATAATTCCATTAATTCAGATATCTAAAGGTAGCAACCTATAGTCATCAGTGACCTGGCACGATTTTTTGTGGGGGACAGACCACTAGAGTCCATGTCCCACCTCTGGAGCTGCCCTGCTCTCCCTGTGTTTTTGAATCTCTGTCTAAAAGTTTGTAAAAGTTTGTTTGATTCAGTGAAGGATGGTGAGGCTTCAGAAGCAGAAGAGACCATGAAGCTTGGAGTGTTCATGACAGGTCTGTGCACCTTTACAAGAAGCATGGGTACAATCAAGAGGTGTACTCATAATGAATGAAATGGGGTGACTTTTGTTTAGTCTTAGTTATATAAAGTGTCCAGTGAAGCTCTTAAGCACTCACCAAGGTCAGTGAGAACTAATCACCTTTACAACT